CTCTTCATAGGTTTGTCAGGCAATTTAACTGCATTTGAATCAAATATTAGAATAACGGAGTTCAGGATAATACAAAATTCCATGCAAAAGTGCGTAAATGGTTATTACCCTATTTCATATTTCACGAATATAACCAAAATATTTTACAGGAATAATTACAGAAAAAGTTATGAAGAATGGTAGTGAATAATGAAAATAAGCCCGCCCCCACCCTCGCGCCCTCCCTACCCCAATCCCAACCCGGCACTTATATCGTTCTTTTTTTACTGCCAAGATGTAGTGAATCAACAAATACTCGAACCCAAGACGCTAGCGACCATAATAATTTAATTTTGACGCAAGCACAGACCCGAACAGAATGGCATCATTTATACTTACAACGATACGGCTAAAGTGATATTGCGATATATTGCGACACGTTGTTTGTTGTGGGCGCGGAGCATTAACTTAGGAGCTGCTGTTTATTTAATATATTATTCCTTAAATCATCTACAAACTAGAGTTTTTAGATATAAAACTTTTGTTTTGTAAAAGTTAAAGGCACATAATGCCTCAGAAATAAACAATGTTTTACTTGTTTAGAAAGGGCAAACACGAATTACATATTTTTTGAATAATGGTTACCGTTTTAGAGAAAAGTAACAATAAATGTGAAATAAATTGTCATGAAAGTAGCAAAATGTAAACAAAGTAGTATTTGACTTCCACTCGTACTAATTCTCTATAACTGTATATACTTATTGTCAAAAAGTAACAGCTGAGAATAATGTTTCAGGTAATTGGCCAATGAGTAAATTTTTGGATACTATGTGCACTATTATGTGTACTAAGTAAAAAAGCTTTTGGGAAATAAAAAAGCATTTCTGAAGCATAATGGGCCTTTAATGTTAAAAAAAACATTTAAGATTCATAATGATTTCATCATTAAACAATAAGAATAAAGATGTTACATCAAAAGGTTTACAACGCTTAAAAATAGTCAAATATAATTTATGCCTATGTCCTACGTGATAATAGTTCAACCTCGGTTGGCTCGAACTATCGATCTCTCGAACAAATTTGCACAGACCCTCTGAGTTCGAGCGAACGAAGTTCGACTGTGTGATCGTATATCGTGATAAAGTATTATTGAAAATATCGCAATTCGAGGGTTACGTTTCGCGGACCGGCGCTGCATCGCGATGTATCGACAATACTCTATATACATGTAGTAATATCCCTACAAACTGACCAAACTCTGTACTATTAATTAAGTTATGGCATTATCATACTGAAATCCCTTTAATTTACAATGGGCAGTTCCAATTCAAAACAGGGCAAGTCTCATTCACAAATGTGTAGGGGTTTGGATTAAAATCCTCTTTATTCCAGTTCGATTCAAAACCATGTATCAACCACTGTTGTCGGTGTTCAGAAAAAAGCAAAACCATTCATTTAAGGGTAAAGAAATTCAACATTAATCCATTACACGATTCACACTGTCTAAATACGAATTTTATTGCTTAACAATTCAAGCTATTTGTACGGCAGAATAATTCTAAATGCATTTCCAAACAAGAGCCCCGCTGCGTTTTATTTTTGTTAAAATGTCATTTAACAATTCCATTTATTAATCAAACATGATTCCTTTAAAGTAAGAATATAGGCATGGAGTTGACACAATCATGTGGAAAAGTTCGTGATGTCGCGGCTTTAACGAATCATTATATTTCGATTTTACTACAGATTTTCAGAACAGTGTACTTCCTTACACCGTGCTAGAACTAGAATTCGGATTTCTATTTTGAATGGTGAGTTTTGAACATTTAATGCAAATTAAATATTTTTTATGCAACATAAAATGCAATCATGATGCAGATTTCGTATGTAATAAAATAACTTCTTATGTATATAAATTAATTTAGTGTATAAGAGTAGAAGTGCTGGTGTACTTTTGTGAAAAGATTTCATTTTAGTAGAACTCGCACAAAGTAAAATATAACTGATATTGATCGAACCGTGGAGATATAATATACCGGTGGCGGTATTTTACCTATAATATAAATATTTTGTAGCACATATATACGTTTGCAATGTTTATGACACAATAGTGGAACTGTTAATGTTAATTTTCTAACAATCCTCGTTTCGAACATTGCCAGTTTTGACGGTCAGTGACTTTCATTTAATTGTGATAACCGCTCCGGTTCCTATTGACGTCAAACTTTTTATTTTTCCGTCAGTTAAAGGAATGACTTACGCAAACCTTATGCACGTGCAAATGACAATATCATCCCGATATTAAAGGAGAGGCCCTGTCAGTGATAGGAAAGTCGAAGGAGCGACATTTTATAAAATTCTGGAGACAATTTCATTTGAACAGAAGTACATAAAGTTAGTTCGCAGAACCATCGTTTCTGCTTTTTGATCTGAAAAACGTGTCATATTTTTCGATTGAACTTTCACCCCGAGAATTGCTGTTTTATACCCGTATTTGGTATATTTTATTAATGGAATAAAACGTAAAGCTTTTTAATGACCTCAAAAAATGAAATTATCTTAACAATCTGTAAACCACAATTTCTGTGGCAAAATGCGATAAAAACGACGTACGAAAAAGTGACTCTGAGTGTGTGTGTGGTGTTTGAATACTCTAAAAATTTATGGTGTATAAAGACATTATTTTTGGTAGGTTTTTTTTTTGGTTAATTTGGCGTTACACTGGGTAGATCAAGTCTGATTGATATATCGTATGTCGTAAAATTTTGTGAGACTGCTTTACGGTAGAGCTGTAACGACAATAGAAAAGTGGAAAGTGTTTCACGGTTTCGTGAAGCGATGATTTTGTTGACATATTGTACAGATATTGAAGCAAATTTCCCATGGAAATATTTACTTTTTTATGTTCGCGTTATGAATCAAGCAAATGTCGTTATTGTATTAAATAGAAACAGTGTAAATTAACTTTACCAATTATTTCAAATTCTTTACAGCAAAAATCACACAGACACATTATGACGTCATTATTATTTCGTAAGCAAGAATGGGATGTAATGTTCTCAGTTTTTTTTTCTATTCGTTCGCACAAAAAAACATTGGGTATTAATTAAGAAAATTTAACAGTGGATTTTCTTGGTGATAATATGTTTAAAAGCTTACAATAATATGATAAAGTTGTCCACCAAAGTGGGATACAGCCATAACTATATGTGCTCCTGATTTATAATTTATAATTAATAATTACTAATGCAAGTAGTTGTGTGCAGAAATATTGTTTCAAATAAACAATAAATACTAAAAACCTACACAATCAATATACAGTAACTATACAACACCTACGCAGTAAATACACATTACCTACACAGTAAATATACAGTACCTACACAGTACATACATATTACCTACAAAATAGATACACTGTAATTACATAGTAAATACATGACATCTACACAAGCCTTTTAACAGCATCAGTTCAAAATCAGCAAAATAAATGAAAAAAAAGAGTAAAATATATCTTGCCCAATTGTTAAGCTGATGTAGTATTATTAACGTTACGCCATACATCGTTGAAGGATTTGAAGATATCGGCGAGGTGTTCGTTACCAATCGTAATAATGCGAAGATTCTTAAAATCTGCGATAGACAGGCACTTGGAAGCGCGCTGTAAGTTTATATATAGGGATTTATGTTTACATTTGAACCGTTGTAAACACAGACAGATAACTATATGAAGATAAGTTCTCTTGTGAAAGTGGGGTACCCTGGGTAGATAGCATATTATCAAACGTCTAAAAAAACTTATATGACAAATAGACATCCGGATGAGAAATTAAACCGTGGTCCAGTGAACAGACACGCAGATTGATGCTGTGAGCCTTGCATTGAGAGAAAAAGACCCGCAGATTGGTGCTGTGCGTCTTGCAATGAGACAAAAGGGCCACAGATTGGTGCTGTGCGCCTTGCATTGAGAGAATCAGTTAAAACATTTGACATTTTATAAAATGGCAGATTTACTGAGGGATAAAGCTCCCTTTTTTCCAGACAATTTAATCGTTTATCATTGTTTGATTGTTGTGTATTACCGTTTGGTTGATTTTATTTATTCAATTTCGACTCATTTTTTACAATTGACTCTAAATATATTTATAACCGGAACTAAAGGTGTCTCGGTGGCGGGAATGTGTTCCATACCCGGCGTATAACACGCGCAATAAATTTTTTCTGGTTTGTTTCAGAAACTTTTCTTTCTGTTCATGAATGTAGCAGCCATCTTGTTCATAGGAGTGGAAAGGGTTATGCCATACCCTATTTTGCAATGAGCATAGATTTTGGGTGGTTCACATCATTTGTGTATATGCCCTTGTCCTCCACTTTTTTAGTACGAATCCCTTAAACGAATATTTTTTTCATAACGACAGGACATTAAGAATTATAATATTTCTTTGCTTTAATTCTGGTCTTACTTAAGACATAGAAATATATAGGTTTCTTAAACCAGTGGCATTTTCTCGGAAACGTGAGGAGTGAAACTTACACTTACAAATATTGTTCCCATACAATTACCAAATTTTTGTTTGCCCAAGGTATTGGCACAATGTCATCAAAAATCGGAGCCTAGTCATTGATAATGTTACTTTAAAAAATGATAGAAATAGTTCAGCAATATACAAATATACAACATATCTTTATTCTCTAATGGCAAAAAAAACGTCTCTTGTAGAAATAAAAAAAACAACATCACTACGTTATTACAACGTTATGATTTATGAATAACGTTAAACTTGGGAGGAACGTGAAACAAATAGTAAAAGGAAAAACCACAGCGCCTAACCGAAAACCCGTCTTAAATCGGGATTGCTATCAAAATCACACCGATTTTATTCTATTGGGTTATCTTTAAGCAAGGTAGAAGTGGGCGGAGCTTACGACACGCCGTTGACAGTATTTCACAGTTGAAACCATCTTGTGAGATCAACTGATAGGGTTTAAAATATCTTGTCAAAATTTGTTATTATAACTTTAGTGTCGTGTTAAATACCAGATGGAGTATTGAATGCAGCCGGGTTTTTTTTTATTTTACTTCTTGAATTCGATGAATTATTTTTTAGAAAATCAGGATTAAAGATTTAAATAGTGTGTTAATTTCAATAACAGGAAGTGATTCAAAAAATGTATGTATTATTGTAACTGGAAAAAAAGAGGGTCGCGCAGTAATGTAATATTTAATTATTTACTTATGCGTTAAAAAAGGAACACGTTCACTGAAAGACTTAAGACCATGTATATGCGTTATATAAGTAACGTTTTATAAATGCCAGTGTCCGGTGCTAGCACCTCCGGTGGAGTTCGCATAGGAACATTAACATCTATGACATCTATGAGGTTCGCACGCTCCCTGTCATACGATTGGCTAATGAAAAACCAATAAGCATTGTCTTGGAGTTGAAGAAACTTTTGAACTATTAAAATAGTCAACGGAATGCTTGCAACTGTCATAACCTTCTTATGAATGAATCTGGAAGGCTGGCAGAAGTGTCAGAAGGGACTAGATATTTTACTTGATACAGCGTTGATAGCTGGGGTAATAGCACAAACTTTCCGCAAACTGACAGCTATTAAGTTTAAGTTGTTTTCTATTGGAAGAGATATACGAACTTCAGTTTCAATACTTCGTTTCCAGTTACCACTTACAGAAAAATTAGATTGCATAATAAGTCAACAAATCTAAAATAAAAAAAATTGGCTGTTTTGAATGGTGCAATTGTGAAAAAGGGCGGAAAAGTTTGGTGTGCATGAAATGTGGAATTTGAATGCGCCAAATAACAATACAATGGGACTGTTTGCAGAAATAAATAAAGAAGGGAGTCATCATCACTGGCAAAACAATTCAGGTATTTAAATGTGTGTATGTGTACGTGTGTGCGTACGTGTGTATTAAGTGATAAAATCTAATTTGAGAAATTATCTTCAACCCATTGGTATTATTCTGCATGTACATTTGAACATTTTTTTTCCTCTCATCGAATTTTTAAAACCCTTTACAATCCAAGACGCTTCCCCATAATGTAACGTTTACATGCAATATGCTTATTTTATAATAATTATTATATGAATATGTTAAAATAAATGAAAAACTTGAATAAAAAGATGATTAAAATTCATTTTTTTAAAAATAAACACGATTTTGACTACACATGTACATTCCCTAAATGATCCAAGTTATTTAATATACATGCAAATAATATAATCTTTTTTCTTTCTTTTTTTTTGTTTTGGCAATTATTTGAGTAAGTGATTTCCGTTTTATAGTAAAGTAATAAATATTATAATATAAATATTATAATAGTACAATAATATATATATATATATATATGAAAAATAAATATTTAATGTTTAACAGGTCATTTCAAGTGAAATGCCCTTTTTAGGAACCAGTTACTTTATGTCAACCAATGGATATTTACTTCCAAGAATTTTTTTCATATATACTTACAAATTTAATCAAAGCATTTGACTTTTTTTTTGGAAAACAAAACATTTTTATTTAGACTGTATGAAAATGATTTAACTTATTTTCAGGTAATGCTGTACATTACCTATGGTAAAAAATCATATGCGAAGTAGGGAGCGTTTCAAGATAATTATAATTCATAATTTTATGATAATTTTATGGAACGTTGCACGAGAGTTTCTGGCTCCATTCTGGAGGAAACATTTACAGTTTATTTTTAATGCACTAAACACTTTATCAATAAAATAAATTTCGGAATTTTAAAAACATTATAACGTGAAGATAACGTGACTTTTATAAATGATGATTTTATATGATTATATTGTTGCATCTTAGGAGTTTTTCACTTTCAATTAGGAGTTATAAAAACCTAATTAGCACATTGATACTTCCAGTTACTTCTAATTAGGAATTTATACTCATAATTCAGTGTACACAAAATATTTCTATTTATAAAGTGTGTTTTTCTAACAAATAAGGGATCAGAACAGAACAGAACTGATAGGTTACTATAACTTTACTTTAAATAAACATTGCAGTAATCAGCATTCAAAATGGATACATATATTTTGTCACAATCATGCATCTTCGCATCCTAAAACACAACACAAACCATGATATGTATTTAATAATTAGATGAATAGTACCATTCTATAATTTACGTTAAATCCCGAAGAGGGGCATAAAAGACATATTGCTGGTAAGTCTAATAGTTAATTTAAAACTGATGCGTTTTTGATTTACTCGATGCATCGTTCCCGACTTATCGTTGAGTAAAAAACGCTTTAACAAATGTGGTTAAAAAGTTTATGCCAGAAGTAACAATAGCAATAATAAATAAAAAATGTAATAGCAGTTACTATTTCACTGTCTTTTTCTGATGTTGAGATGTATATTGTTACTAGGATTCGGGAGGTAGTGCGCAAGTTCGAATATACTCTTCTAAATGGAGGAGATAAAAAAACACCAATTATCGTACATACTTTTTTTTATTTTAATTTTTACTTTTCCTCCATGGGAAATTTACTTTGACTTAAAGGAACTCCACTGAGGTTTAAAAGCCTAAAACATAACATTTTAATTTTTCACATAGATAAACACGAGCACTTTAAACAAAAATATAAATAAAATATAACTAAGAAATATTCAAGAAATGCATTGAAAATCATATGTTTGTGCTATTCTCAGTCTGATTTGAGTGAAAAGCGTTTAAACGCTTTTCAAATTTGGGTCATTTTTCACTATTATAATAATTATTCTGGAAAAATGGAGCTAGCTAATGATCTGAAATTTTACACATAAGTTATTAGGATAGATCTACATCAAATGGAGTAACAACCTCAAAAAATTATTTCCAGTTCCGTCATCGTTAAAAAACCTCAGTGGAGTCCCTTTAATATGGACGAAACTTTTTAACAGTTAACCAGTTAACTACCTTTTTAAATATCTTATTTGGCAAAAAAAAGTTTTGACAATTTAAGTTATGTTCAAGCATATTATTTTCGCGGGTCTGACTTGTGGCCTTTTACATAAGCCTTAAAGTTGTATTGAATGTAAGTGTAAATATACCATTCAAAAATTCCTTTTGGAGTCAGTAGGGAGATATCATGTAAATATACCAATGTTTGTAGGTAGAAAAATGCAATATAGTTTCATGGGGATTTTTGTACTTTAAAGAAATTTTCATAAACTTGCCAAAGTGAATTTTTTTAGTGATTTTTTTCCTCGTAACGTGGGCACCAAAATAGTATCAGCAGTTTTGTATTCACATCGTAAAAAGTTTAACAAAGTGCGAAATCATAAGCGTGGCCATTTAAGACCAAAGTATATGAACCGCAAAACGTTCCAGACCAAAAATATATAAAGAAAACTATCATCACGGTACGTGGGTAAGATGCCTATCTGTTCGGTAACCGGAACATCGATGGCCGCAATTACCGTACTTAGAAACATTAATGTCTTTATAATGTACAAATGTAGCATTTTACTATCGTTTGTAAAATTCTTTTTAAAACCATTAATGTAACAATTTAAACAATTTTCAATGTTGTTTACATCCATTTTGGGTCGGAACGACAATGGTAGAATTTGTGTATGATTTTTCTTACTCGTAAAATTACAGTGACAGCTCGTGATTTTCACTTTTATTTTTCTCTTTGCTATCGTTATATCATAAAAACGTAGTAACTTAAAGTATTTCCACTTTAAAGTTTATATCCTATCAGCAGTGTTGGCGAGGCTTACAAGACAATAAAAAAGCCGTAAATTTTCTCTGTTTATTTGATATATTATAAAGATGCATATATTTTGTACCAAATGTATCCGGGTTTTTTTAATTTCTTTTTATATTTTTTTGGAAACTTTGGCTTTCAAACTGTAAAATACATTGCATTGTTTGAGATGAAAATAAACGAAATCATGATAAGACATGATAAATAATAATTGTATGAACAGGAAAATAAACTCCTTTACGAATTTTCGTCCCTAAACGTTTTGTATTTTTCTTCTAAGTGAAAATTACGTATTACGTCATTCTTAGCTGGCTTTCGGTTCAAAAATGGCACATAAACCCGGATAGTTATTATAACGACACAGACCAAGTCGGTCCACATATGATCAACAGAAATGATCCACATTTTCATGTAACATGACTACATTTTAATGTAACCTATACATATTTGGCATATAAAGCCCATACATATGTAATGCCTGCTAGGTAACGTGTAGTTCTTATTTCCAAGGAAGGCAAATGCCACGTACCCGATTACAAAATAGTCCGTCATCATTGCATCTATTTTGTCATTTTTTTTCAGTTGGGATGCCGTCTGCACAACGTGAACTTTGCGCCGGATGTTGCCGCCATATTGAAGATAGGTATCTGATGAGAGTTGTGGATCTAAGTTGGCACGAACATTGTCTCCAGTGTTGTGTATGTCAAATGCCGCTCACAGGGTCATGTTTTGTCAGGGACCGGAAGTTGTATTGCAGACTAGATTATGACAAGTAAGTTGGAATTATTAAATCATGTTTCATTACATCAAGTAAATTTTCCTTATTTCATAATGAAAGATTTTACATGAAGGTCATGGCTAAATTTCAAAGAATTTCAAAAGCTCCGTGGCTATTCGAGACTTTACTTAATACAGTATGACAAAATTTCTGAGTTTGTGCATTCGAACTAATCTCTCTTATTTAATTTCACACGCGTTGACGGCTAAATGATCAGGATTATGAGAAAATTACACGCTGACGTGGATTTCCAATTAGAATCTAATTGATAAACCCGTTCGAACCACATGTTTCAACCTTAACTTCGCTAAAAAGAGCCAGTAAAGCGGATTAAAGAACCGAACGGGAACATGTTCCAACGCTAGCGAACATGCCTTACCAATCAAGCGGGCACGATCATGTGGTTTATTTCGAGACTTTACTGACATTTTTGTGTCACCTTATTAAAGAAAACGCCATTGTACTCTTTAAACGAGCAAAAAAATAAATATTTTGGTTTCTTGAAAAAAGAAAAATCAATTGCTAATGGCATTTTAATAAATAATTAGGTAAGATGAAATTTGTTCAAGAAAGATACTTTGAGCACGTGATTATCTCATCTCGAGGGCCAGTATTTAATTTGCCCAATATTTTCCGAATGCGTTAAGCGGTTAATGACAGACTGTTTCCAATGTTTTAATATTGTTTTAATTTCGCGATTATTTGTCTCTGAACGTCAGGAAAACTGCCTCTTTATTAGATGGCTTCGATTTTCCGGACAATTTAATTGAATTCGGGATATTCCATTCATCAAATGTGTTAATAATAAACTTGACCTTTGAAAATAATTGCGGTTGTTGATGCGATGTTTGTTTACTGCATTTAAGATGCAGTTAACACGTAAAAAGATCTTTGTTAAGGCAATTGTGCGCTACACAACACCTATACAAGTTGTAGTGTACGTACAAGTATTTTTTTCTATTTTATTTTCGCTTTCATGTAGCCTTATATAATGTACTTTGATTCCTGTTTGAGCATCATTTTATCTTTATTCCCTGCGGTCTGGAGACCGCAGGGTATTGGTACGCGTTTAACTTTTGAAGCATGGAGGAGCACGTGACCTGTTTTCGGTACATGGAGGAGCATGTGATCTGTAAACCGTACATGATTGGTTAATTGACCTTTTCGAAATCCTAGTTAAATACCGTTTGCCGGTACGTTACGGATTTACCTGTAGGGAATTAGTCCGAATTACCCCTAATTAAGAACAAAAACTATTACGTGATTTTTCTAATTTTCTATAATTATTTTACCGTTTAAGGTGGAAAAACTTGAATGATGTGTTTGAAAATTATCAATGTTTCTTTAATATCTATCTCAAATTTTACAAACAATAAATTGTTTATACTGAAAATCTACAAAGTTAAAATATTCGTAGTGGCATCTGCCATAATAAATAGAGATATTTTCTGCGTAAACTTGTGTGTTTACTTTATTTATTTTTTTGCTCGGAATTATTCATAAAATGGTAGGCCTATTTAATCATTTTCTTAAAAAGAAATAATTGTTTTATGTTCGACCTTCTCCGGTCTTCAACGGTCATCAGTTTCCAAAGACCTAGCTTCTTCTATATTGATCGTTTATTCAATTGTCAACTATATTCTTGATACAAACGTTTATTTATTCCCCCCCCCCCAAAAAAAAAAAATAATGTTGAAAATAGTTAAATGAAATATCTTTATATCATTAAAATATTCACTGCAGGAAACCATTTTACTTGTTCACATTTGTCATCTCATTGTGTCATGCATGTACATGGAATGAGAGAAATAAATGAGCCGCGTCACGACAAAACCATCATAATGGGTTTGCGACCAGCATGGATCCAGACCAGCCTGCGCATCCGCGCAGTCTGATCAGGATCCATGCTGTTCGCTATCAGTTTCTCTACTTGTTATAGGGGTTGTAAGCGAACAGCCTGGATCCTGATCAGACTGCGTGGATTCGAAGGCTGGTCTGGATCCATGCTGGTCGCAAACGCACTATGTTGGTTTTGTCGTGACGCGGCTCAAATGTGCTTTTTTACTTTGACTTTACTTGAAGCGAAACGAAAATATCTATGATATGTCACTTGTTCTAACAGATTTTTTCCTCATTTTCTATTAAAGGTTTTGCCTATTTCTTTTGCGTAATAAATTTAACACGACATAAGATTGCCCATCAGTAGACAAAACGAAAAAGTGAATAAGATAAGTTAAAAATAATAAAAACAACTAAATACAATATGAGTATAGTTTCCGCCTTTGAACTATGCCTAGTTCAATTCAATTTTTACATGATGCTTAGTTTCAGAGGGACAACTTTACTTATAAAAAACGCGGTACTACAGATAATCTTTCATCTAAAAAGATATTGTAAACTTACAATAACATAAAAATCTGAAATTACGTTAAAAAAATCTGGAGTTACTTTAAATCGGGATCAAAATGTTTAACAAGGAAACCTATAGAATCAAACGTTACTGTGTAATAAAACTTGTATCCATTTTCTCTTCCTTTTTTTCATTTCCAACTTATAACCTGTGACAAATAGTCCTAAAAAAAAGAAGAGTAAAAACGATGTCTTTTTCTTGCAAACTTGAACATTTCGCTTCCCATGACCTAGTGGTTAAGATGTCTGCCTCTCAACCCAGGGATCATGCATGGGTTCGAGCTCTAATTGGGTCACGACCATGTTTCTTCATATGACACCAGTTCTGGTTGGTTCCAGGAAGCAGAGTCGAAAGTGATGAATATAAGTAGCAAGAACTTGTTCCATAATCGAGCTTAAATAAATATGCTTAAACCAAACCCATATCGCTACTCTTCGGACATCTTTTCGGCTCAAATCCAATATCCCTGCAATGTGTCTTCACCGGTGAAATGTGTTATCACCATATTAAAATGTATATCAAAATTGGTGAAGATTCGAAAGTTTGCATAGATAGTATAGCATGACACTGACCCTTGTTAAACTGCCAATACACGACTAGGCATGCTTTAAAGTAATGATACGCTCCTCTATACAAACAAACAAACATTTGCTCACTTACCTATAGTATAAGAGACACTTAATTAAGGGCAATAAAGAGGGGGTTAATCAAGAGCCTTTATCTTGTATCAACTTTGTAAACATCAGGATTTAGTTGATATAAGTATGTCAAATATATGCCACTTTGCTGGTAGGTAGGTAAATATATGTATTCATAAGTTCATAGCTCGTTGAATGCTTGGCAAAACTTGTCGTCTGCTAATTTATATCGTCTGCTTAATATTTGAATCTCATCAAATTTCCTCAAAATAAAAAAAAGATAATGAAAAATTATAAATAAAAACAAAAATCAAGGACCACGACAGCGACAACAACAAATAAATAAATGGCATTGTCGATTTAATTTAGTTTTATTTGATTTTTAATAAGACGCACGATTTACTGCGGAATGACACGATTTAGTTTGCGAATCTTCAATGAAGTACATAAAATTAATTAATACATTCACATACATCAGCTTTACACTTTCGGGACCTATTTTAAATGTCATGCCTTGTTGAAAACAAAAAACATTCTTATTTAAATTTTCTTCAAATCGAAAGACAATATTTTCTTATCTCCGTACACAAATAATGAACTGTGCAACTGTCTGGTGGTGGTGTTGGTTGTTTTCACTCAGTGTACAGTCAGCCACCGCATCGTTCCTGGGCAGGCTGCTAAGCAATTTACTAGTACTAGTAATGTTGCCTTCTTTTTCGCAAGGAACTGATAACTTCTGTACATGCTAGCTTAGGTGCGGTGTGTGTGATCATAGAAAGGATTTCATGATAAATCACAACGAAAGTGACCTGCACCGTCCGGGAATTGAACCCCGGTCGCCCGATTCACAGTCCAGCGTTCTACATATTGAGCTTACTGTAGTTTACCTAGACTTAATATCGTGGAACTAGGCTAAAAGCTAAAACGTTGCCTCCATCTAAACGGGAATTGTTTCACATTGAACAAAACGCATCGGTGTATTAAAGAGCTGTTCCATTGCATTGTCATAAAATATTTGATTTTTTTTAAAAATCCAATTAAGAAACTAGAAAACAATTTGTCTTAAAGAAATTCAAATATATAATATATCTTTTAAAGTTTTATTATTATTTTTCCTTTAAATGTTTGGGATAGTGTTGTGCAGACATTATTCTGGCTTCCAAAACTTTAATATCCGCATTTTTTTTATAGTAAAGTGCTCTTTTGGTAACGGGTTTGATGCCTTTAATGCCTTATCAATTATTTTTATGCTCAAATTTACAGCATTATTTTTGATCGTTTAATCGGGATATAATTAATTACATGACCAAAAACCTTCACGAGCGTGTCTATATTTTAATAAAATATGGTAAACAAGATCAACAAGGAAAGAAGTTCGGCTCAGTGCATGCTGACCATTCCTTTGCAGGCATTTTACGCATGCGTAAAACCTCAATTGTATAAAATTGTTTTTTACGCAGCTTTCATACCTCTGAATTTCTTGTTATGTTCAATTTTGCTTATACGTAACATGAAGCCAATGTGGGTATAACTGATCGCAGCAGATGAATTTCTAGACCACCACCAGAAAAAAAATAACAATAAAATAACAAAAAACAGATTACCAACGTATAGATAAATACACACGTCATCACAGCTCTGCTTTTACCCTCTCTTGGTGACAAACCATGGGAAGAATTGTTTTCATGTATAAAGATTTCTTTCTTATGTAAACACGAATGCTTGTACATCCAAAGATGACAATATAAAGAAAAAGAAAGAAAGAAAGAAAGAAAGAAAAAAGGAAAAAAAAAAGAAAGAAAGAAAGAAAGAAAAAAGAGAAAGAAAGAAAAAACTTCGGACCATTGCCTTATTTTAGCCACCATTTTTTACAGCCTTCAAAGGGCATAAAGGCGCTCAATGATCTCCGAATGTACTTTCTTGGCTGAATTTACTGTTTGTGTTGA